TAAATAAAATCTTTAAAAAAAGCAAGCCAGTTGTGTGGTAAGAGAGCAGGGTCTAGGTCCATTTTATGCATGGCATTCCCCAACCTCACAAAATACCTGGCCCATAGTAGGAGCTCAATAAAATTTTGCTGAGTGTAAAGAATAATGCACAGAATAGACTGCACTCTACTAAGAGGCCATGGGGGAAAAGAAATCATTACAGTTACCCGAGAGGAATCTGTCATGGAAAAATTCACCTAAACTAATTGTAGCTCTACTGTTATTTTTAATGTTTTATCTTGCCCCCTCCCTTCTCTGACAAACTGCATCAGAGACACCCCTGATTCTCCCCTACTCCCTCCCCCTTTCCTGCAATGTGCTGAAGAAAGGAACTTTCTGAGGACAGATGCTTTGTACCACATCTCAGAAGTCAACTTTAAGATAATTGCAGCGGAAGCAGCTTTTAATCAACTGACAGGCAGCTTTAAGAAAATTAATGAGGACAAAATCTTGGGAAGGAGTAAATCATTTCTGACAACAAAGCTGTCTCTCTTTTATCCCAATCTCCCCTTGAAGAAATAGTACCCTTCCAGGATACAAAAATAAAATATCTTCATTTTTGGTTTTTGCCACTCCCAAGGCCAGACAAGATTAAGAAAGGCTCATTCTCTTAGATTTCTGGAGATACTCTGGGATTGAACTAGAGTTCTAGATCACTTTTAAAAATCAAACTTTCAGAATCTAGGGAAGTATAGATGAGTGGATTATGTCACAGGCTAAATTCAGGGCAAGGAGGCTACAGTGAAGATTACATACTGAAGAATGGAGCTAGGACAGGCCCAAAGAGCCTGTACATGTTAGTTACATAAATGCTGGTCAGTGCTGACAGCACTAGACACCCAACCTGCCCCAGGATCTAAGCTACAATTTAGTTGTGACTAATTTGAACACTCTGGATACCAAGCCTTTTCTGTGGTTCATTTTAATGAACTTATAATAATAATCAGTCATCACTGGGCTCTGTGAAGATGGCTGTAAAAATGACAGAAAATGGCTATAAAAAGAAGACAACCGATGTTTCTTTATAATCAGGATGACTCTAAGATATCCATTAATGGGCATCATAGTGATGTATCCCATCAAAGGATAACAGTAGGTGGAATGCTGGAAAAGGGAACTCCAGAAGTACCCCTTCAGATGGGGAAGGGCCTGGAGCGAAAGATAAAGATACTGCTTCTCACTTTTTAAGCTGAAGCATCTCTGTATTCTATAGCACGCAGGCAAGCAGGCATGGGCTGGCAGTTAAGAGCTCAAGTCAACTGTGGGCAGGTAAGAATTTTAATCAGAAATGGGAAAAGGCCTCACGGCATTGGTTCTTAAAGTACTATCCACTTCAGTTCTTACTGAACCACTTATGTGCCCACATCCCCTACCTGTTGGGGGGTTGGTCTATGCATCTGGGAAGAAGAGTAGACAGCATTTTACTTCCTGTGTTGAAAGCACTAATCCTTATTCTTGCTTTCCAGCTCAAAATGCCCCAGAACCACCCCCACCCACCCCCAGCTGCTGACTTTTGCTGTAGGTAAAACAGCACTTATTCCTTACACAAAAGTGGAAGAGCAGTATGGTATAGGACTATTTCTGGTGTCATTAGTAATTTTATATTTTTGTTATTATGCTTTCACTTGGTTACAACCAAAGTTATTATAATGTGCAAGTTGCCACTATTTTGGAAAATTAATTGCAGTTTTCTGTTACAATATTATGCCTTCTTCCAATTAGAAAATGAAAGCAGGGAGGGCACACAGGCAGCTTCGTGTTTTGAGAATTCAGCAAAACTTCAGTTCAGCAATCTCCAAATGCCTAACTTAAAAAACCAAACAGAAATGAACAAAAAGCCCTCCCTGGCTCCAGAGCAAGGGAGTCAGACCGAAAATAAGCCCCTGAGGCAGAGTGGCATCCCCAGCCTGGAGGAGGCTGGAATGGACGGAGGGAAAGGGGAGATAAAACATGTGCTCAGTCTTATTTTTCCAGACCTGCCAATCATACTAAAATTGGGAAGACTGAGCCTAGCCTCAGAAGCAGAGAAGGGAAATATCAAAAGGACCCTGATCCTAGAAACAAGGATAAAAATTAAAATGGCTCAACATGGGCGAAGAACAGAATCCAGCACATGGCTATTCAAGGGAGGGCCCCGGAGGGAAGCAACAGCTGAGAAGAGATGGGAGGTGAAGCACAGTCAGCCAAAAAGCCAAGTAAGAGTCTGGTGGGAAATGGAGCCCAAAGGCCACCGTGCCCACAACAAGATTAGCCAAGGATCAGAGCACCATGCATAAAACCACAAGTAAACCTGAGACTGTGTCCCTTCCTTGCTGAGGATGCTGAGCGCAGAGACCTCAAATGAAGAAAGCAGTCATTAAAAACAGCAGTTCTCAAACTCGAGTGCATATCAGAATCACCTGGAAAGCCTGTTTTACAAATACAAACACCTGTGCCCCTCCCGCCCCATTCTTATGTGGCTCTTTAGGCCTCAAGTGCTGTCTGTTTCTGACAAGGACCCCACGTACTCTAATGCAGGTTATCCAAGGAGCACAGTTTGAGAAGCACTAATCCAGAGGTCTGAAGAACCGCTCAGAATAAATGCACCAAGGCAAGCCAGCAATTAGCCACTGATTTTCAGAAGACTTTTCATATGGGACTGGGTAAGAGATCATCTCTTGGGGAGAGATTTCACTTAGTGGGAATTAAAATAAGGTAGTCAATGCTCTGGAGGACGTTCTCCTGGGACTGTCTGTTGGCCCAACAAGCTCACCTCTCTGAATATTACCATAGTGAATTCCAAGAGGTAAGACTAAAATGAAGGGGGATTCTGAGTAGAGAAGCTTGAGGACAGGCCCATCACCCACAAAAGCATTCCTTTGAAGACAGAGCTTGACATTACAGATGGACACACCCACCTATACTTACCTGTGCACAGAGGGAGATGCTCTACTGTCCCATTAAACCCTCGCTCCCTGTTCTCAGACAAAAAGGCACTTCTTGCCTTAAACGGTGGTACAGCACAGCTATCCAAAAAAGCTGGTGTCTTCCCTTCCACCAATGACTGAATTCAGGGACATTTGCTGAATGCTTTGGTGCCTCTGGAGGTAAGGGGCAACCAAGACCTGGAAAACCAGAAACCTTTCTGTAGCGCAGGGGTTTAAAGTCAGACTTGGTGGAAAAGGGTAAGCAAAACCTTGCTCAGAAGGCTGGATCCTGTCTCTTGGGTGAGAGGAACACTTCCCAAATGGGAGCTTTCTAGTTACTTCAGCTCCCTAAGTGGCAGATGGTGCCTACTGAGAATCAAAAAAGCCTCACTAGGAGGCCTGAGAAATAGCTCTTGTCACGAGGCATACAGCAGCTGGCTAGCCGCCCTGAGCCCCTTAGCAGGACAGCAGTGGATTACCACACCTCCTCAGCAGACTCCTCCAACTGCATTCCCTGAGCTGCCAGCCCCATATGTGACAACATCTTGGCTTCCGCCCTGTAGCTGTTTGCCCTCAGCCAGATGTTTCTAGCTACTTATGGGAAGGAGGAACCTTGCTAGGATGGAGGACTGGCAGGCTGGACCCGGGAGTTGGGCAGGAGCCCTGGCTTCCGGAAGAGGCTGGAGATGTCCATTAGTGTTGCCGAAATCAGATCCTGTCTCTTAATGATTATAAACAATTATTTCACAATTAGGCAGGAAGGGTTTAGAAGAACAGCTGTTGGGACCAGGATTCTAGGTAGTGAAAGGCAGACACCAGGTACTTTTACCATCCAAATCTGCTGAGGAGAAGCAAAATAATATGTAAACTAAACCTCAATGTCCATCCTCAAATATCTAGGTAAGAAATCAGGCCTGTGAACTTCATGATGTCCTCTCCCCCAAGCACCTAATACCAGATCCTTCCAAAGTCACCTGGGATTCAGAAATCGGGACTTTCCTGTCAGTATGTTGTCAAGAGCACAGACTGCCTGCTTCTACCCTTTCAGGGGCTTGGTGGAACATGCTGTCACCTATCACTGGTTCTGCTCGTTATCCCCTAGAAATGCTAAGGAGGACGCTTTTCTTGAGATTCTCTTCCATTCATTCAGCTTCTCCTAAATGTCAGGTTCCTCCTTAGGTACTTGGACTTCATAAACATGGCACAGATATGGTCTACACTCTCGAGGAGCTCACAGTCCAAAAGAGGAGAATGACATGGAAACAAGTTAAGTGCAATCTGATGTGATGAGTGTTAACACAAGCTCGGGGGAACAAGGAGGGTGGTGGCACAAGGAGGGAGTGATTTAGAAAAGTCCCGCAGAAGGGAAAGAGCTGCCGAAGTCAGGTTTGGGGGGCGGGGGGGCAGGTAGAAGGCACATTGGCAAGAAAGGGCCTTCTGAAATTCAGGGTGCTTGGAAAGTGACTCAGTAGAGTCAGACAGAGGGTCCCTGTAGGAGATGGGAGGAAGAGGCTGGTGACCACCACGCTAGGCCACCCACTTTCTGTCACTTTCTACATAATGGATCCTGTCGCTAGCTTTTTCTTTAAAACAAATGCTTCCATTCCAGGCATCAAGCATCTACATGCATCGCACTAAATGAAGGGCCCTGGGGGATATGTCCCTAAGGAGCTTACACTGAACCTAACTGGGCAGATTAAACATACATACCACTCAGCTAAAGAAAACACAAAACAACACATAAACAAGTGCATAAAACTATAAATGGCACAACACAAAGTGCTAAGGGAATTCACAGGTTCTTAGCTTGAGACAGAGCTTAAATACCATCTAATTAGAGAACCATTCAAATGCTCAATTCCCCTTGGCAAAAGCAAATGAGCCCCCATGGGAACTCAGAAACCAGTATGGTTGAGTCCAGAAGGCCACTAACCCCACGATGCCCAGAAGGCTTTTATGGCAATACAAGAGAGGTCCACTTCAGACAAGAGAGGGTCCCAATAGGACCTTCTTCTGCTAATAAAATGGAGGAGACGGTTAAGAGCATAGCAGCTATGCAAAGGCCTCATCTTCCAACATGATTACAACCCACAGAAAAGAACATTTCATATTATATATCACTTTTTATAGCTTGCTTCCTCAAAAAAAAATTTTTTTTAATAAGCATAAATATTTCATTGTGTCCTTCATGTATCTCCAGACCAAAGGTCTCACACTGAGGTAAGGAGGTATTCAGTTTGGGCTTCATCCAAAGATACTTTCAAGCCTCTCGGGAGCTCAGCTCAGGAACTAGGGTGTGAGAAAGCTCCTGCCTTTTAATAGTCCAGAGCTTCTAAAAGTGAAGCCTGCTGGTCACAGATGGGCTGGACAGCAGTCTTTCGTACTCCTTACAAACATGCTACCTCTCACCCGGGTTGGGAGGTCACACCATTAACCTTCACTACCCTGCCAAGTCTGGAGAGCTGCCCTACAACGGAGGCACGAGCCATGGCACTCACCCTCATGGAGGTCTCGCCACCATGGGCCTGCTGCAGCCTGAAGACCTGGGCCACCATGTGCTCTGTGGAGGGATGCAGCAGGATCCTCCTCGAGGCCAAGCCCACCATTACGTATCGGCCCATTGGGGACAGGCTCACCGAAATGGCATTGGGACCTGAGAGCCAACAGAACAGAGAGACGTTTCCCAGAGTTCCTGCCATCACAAGGAAATAATGTTCCCTCTCAGTCTTTTTCTCTTTATTTCCAATTTGCATCTTTGGTTACCCAGGGGCTCTCTCACAGGAGTGCAGTGAGGAGGACAATGAGAAGGCATGCCAAGTACTGAGTACAACGTATGACATACAGAAAGTACGTGACAAATGCTATCCATTGTCATCACAGCACCGTATCTTAAAAAACTGGCACCATACTGTGAATAGGACTTTGAAATCTCCTATTTCCACTTCATACGTAATGACCATTTTTCCACCATTAAATATTCTTCTATAAGAGCATTTTAAAGGCCAAATGGTATTCTGCCCTGTCTGTGCATCATTTATTTAAGCAATTCTTCACCATTTGACATTTTTCTCTATGATAAGTAACACTGCTGTGAACATCCTTGTAGATAAATCTTTGTATAGTTTTCTGATTATTTCCCTAGAAGTGGGATTGCTGGATCAAAGAGAACATACACTTTAGGGGCTTTTAATCCACAATACCAAACTGCCTTGAAGTGTAGGAGTGTGCCAAGCCGTGACCAAAGCTCCTCCTTTATCCGTGGCCGTCACAACAGGAGCGTGTTGGTGACGCTATTATGGCAGGAAGGATTCTTACTCTGAGAGTCTTCTGCAATGCTACCAGCCAGGACTCCTGCAAAGCCATCTTCCTCTGGCCTGTGCCCCAGGGAAGCAGGGGCAGGCTATGACCATTACTCCTTCCTAAGCTGTGCCTCACCTAGGAATGCCCATGCCAAGGCACCAGCGTCCCTCTGTCGCTAGGTTGGGCTTCCTATCCCTTACCAAATCGCTTGGTGTAGAGCATTTCACCCAGGTTATGGGGGGCCAAGGAGTACACTGCCAGGATGCCTTCATCAGGAAAGCCCCTCTGGCTGCTAGGGATGAAAGCTGCCAGGAGCTGGCCATCTGCAGAAATGTCACAGCTGGCGTCATTGTAGATCTTGCAGTTCTGCACCAGCACATTCACGGAAGCTGCATCAGACAAAGAAAGAAAAGAGGGTAAGAAAGTTTTGGAGTTGATGGTGTAAAAAATTCTGGGCCAAGAAATTCTGGGGCCTCTCTAAGGGCCTGAACCCTCTCTAAAAATGCTGAAGTCCACCCTGTCAATCAAACTAAAATGTCATGGAACAAGGAACACAAGAGGCAGGAAAGAGATGTGTCTTTTACCACTTTAAAAGGAAACAACAGATAGTCAACACAATCACAACCACCTGCTGAGTCTTAGCTCACACTTAGGAAACATCATTTGAGAGAGATAAGGAAAAAGTTACTAAAAATTGTTCCTGGAGAGCCATTCAACAGCTGTTACTGTCCAAAAGATCAAAACTAAGATGAATGAAAATGCAAAACCACTGATTCCAAGAGAAAGGTGATCCAGGTAAAGCTTCCTTGGGGTGAGAGTCTTACTGCATAGCTGCTATGCGACCTCGGAGAAGGAAGTCATTTCATTAGTTTGTGTCTTATTTTCTCATTTCAGAGAAATGGAACAGTTAGAGACTTCAGTCTTCTGGACAGCTCCTTGCTACTACGAATCCCTAATGCCACAAGAGAGGACAAAGAGAAACACAGCCCAGCTGTGGCTGGATGGCTGGAACTCTTCATTTCTCACTACGCTCTAGGCCTTATCCATACCATAAGCAAGCATCCAGGGGCAGCAGCCCCAGCCTGTACTTAGCAGCTACTAAGAATTAAGCCCAGGATCAGCCAGGCAGCAGGCTCAAGGGAACAGGGTAGGGATGGGGGTGGTGGAAGAATGTGTCAGTGGGGATGGGGAGATCCCGTTCCACATGACTAATGAGACGTTGGCCAGCACTGCGTCTGTGCCTGCAGGCTTTGTTTTGATTTTCATTCGAGTCTCCGAAGCCCACTGTATAATTCCCTGCCAGGAGGAAGTGGCTTACCCTTGAGGTGAGCCTGGGAACAGAGTGCCCAAACCGTGGGCACAAGCAGAACAGCACAACACATCCAAAGGGACCAAGCTCCTCTGGGCTTTGTCTCACTTAGATCTACTTCAAATGTACCTGCAAAGAAACTTTTTGGTCCTTCTCTTATTTTAGAGATTACCTGGATGTCCACTGTCAAACACATTATGGTTTAAAAAAAAAAAAAAAAAGGGAAGAAAGATAGAAGAAGCCAAGCTCAGCGGCCTTCATCAGATTCCAGGTGATCTATTCCAGGAAGCCCAAGTGCTTGCCTTGGAAGATCAAGGGCAAGTTTCCCCAGGAAATTACTTTAAGGAACACAAAACAGAGAACTGCTTTTCAGGGGCCTGAGGCTTAGGGGCTCAGGGACTCAGTGATTTCTAACACTCTATATTCATCTTCCTTTCCCTGTGTGTTGCTAATGAAGCCACAGAGATGACAAAGTAGATCAAAAAAGACATCAGAACACACTGATTAAGCTATTGTGCCAACTCTCGGGGGCTCACACCTACAGCACCATTACACATAACACCGAGAAGGGACCACAAGGATGGCTCTGTTTGCTAACTAATAAAATAATGACATCCAAATATTCACTGCTATCACCATTAGGGCTCTGTACTGCTCAACTTCCAACCCACCATCTGCTCTACCCTGTGTGGCTAGATTTATCTAGTTAGCACTGAGACCGTCTGCTCCTTACTCAGGGTCCCAAGCCTGGTGCCAAAAAGATGACAATCTTTTCCTCCTTCCCTGGATTGACACATGATTCCAGTTGGGGATATATAAAAAAGGTGGGGGGAAGGAACGGGGGAGGCGTCAGGAATGAGTCCATCTTGATTTTCTAACCTTGAGGCTGGCACAACCTTCAGAAGGATAAAAAGAAACTGAAAACTGAGACTATAGCCACCAAACTTTAAGACAGTTTTGCACAATTACCATTTATTCCACATTTAATGTCTCAAAAATGCATGGTGGGTATTTTATGAAAGTATGCTTTTCTATCTTGCTGTTATGATCTCACTCGTGTGTTAACATGCAACTCCCGTCAAACGTATCGAAGCCTATAGTAACCCTCAAAGCTCACCACTAAAGTAAAAAAAGCATTTAACTGCTTACTGCCAGATTAATTCCTAAGCAGGGCCAGGGTGGGAAGGAGAGTACAAGTAAGGTGTTCCTTTTTCTGGAAAGCTTGGCTCTAAGCCCCTGAAAAACTGGGCATATAGACAAAAAGTATTTTGTCAGCCTCCAATCCAGGCCGCTATGTTTGTGTTTACTACATTATGATGATTTGGAATCATCATAATGCCACCTCCCAAATTTCGTCCCCTCCCCACCAGCCCCACCCAGTTTCAAAAGCGCTCCCAGTCATTGTGGTGAGCACACAGACAGACATGCAGATGACAAATGAAAAGAGAATGCTGAAAATTCGAGCACAGCTTCTCCGGCAGCAGGTTTAATTGCAGAAACTGTGCCGCTAGTGATCCAGGGTCTCACTCCTGCCCTAATGAAGGGGATGTGGCAGGCACACTGTGATTTGGTAGCTTCATTTCTGCGAGCACTGGGTGGTGTGTTTACAATTTCATTTTTCTTTCAAAGTTCCAATTAGCAGCTTACATTTGCCGCTCGTTGTCTATTAATTTCCCATGCGGAAATGGAAATCTTCAGTTACAATGGTGAGTGGTCACCGCTCCAATTCACTTGTGCCACTTCTCATAACGCTGCAATTTTGATGAGTTAATTTACACAGGACGAGATTTCTTGGACCTGTTTACTTGTTTTCTTGGGCCCTAGGAAAGTAATGCAAGGCAAACTCACTCTTTTTGGCAAGGACAACTCACTCTTTTTGGACTCAACAATAATGTAAGCAGGTAGAGAAAACGGTAAAGTGAAATAAAGCCTAAGACACTAGCAACCCACACAGCACTAGAAATCTCTGTTCTGCTCCCTGCCTGGCCCTCCGACACTGCTTCTCAAGTGTTAGCATGCATCAGAGTCACCTGGAGGGCTTACTAAAACATGGAATGTTGGGGTGAGGCCTGAGAATTTGCCTTTCTAACAAGTTCCCAGGTGTCTCTGATGCTGCTGGTGTGGGACCACACTGGACAACTGCCACCTTACCAAACAGTCCTTGATCCCTGAGCCGTAGCTCCAGCAACCTGCCCTGCACTTAAAGGCAAAAACACATGTGGGGAAGGGTGATGGGGCAGCTCAAAATGGAAATAAAGGTTAGGAAAGAAAGGATTTTTCAAATCAAAGCTGCTTAAGAGCTTCAGGGGGCAGCTCCAGGGGGAGAAAAAATGATGCAGAAGACAGCAGGAAGCCATGTTCCAGACTCTGCAATGTAATCTCCTCCTAATTATAAATGATTTCCAAGTGAAAATGCCCTAGCAGGGAATGGGAGGGGCTAGAAATACTGATGCCTGGAGGAGCAGATGGCTCTGCCTTCCTATCAGCTCCATAAATTATAAACAAACACCTTGTACAAAGATCGATTTGTAGCCTGTTGCTGGCTGGCCAGATGAGGCCATGGGAGCGATTAGCAGTTGCAGTACTTTTGTAAATATATTAGATACTGATTTGGAAAACTCGAAGGGGTTTAAATCAGCAGGAAAATTTCCTTTCGGCTATCTCTGAGCCCCTCAAGTTGCAGAATAAGACCTCCTGCACAGTCCTCCCGATGACACTACAAGCCCTCCCCACAGGCAGCAATCACTACATCTCCTGTGGTGCAGTGTGCCTTACACCATTCAGCTGCGGGGTTTCTGAAGGCTGGTGCTGGCAGGGCACCCGAGTGACCAATGCTCTTTACCAGTAAGAGCTCACTCTTAAAAACCAGGGTGAACCCAATGAGCTACTTTTTCAGGAAAGTGTTCTTGAAATTATCCACATCTGTGAGGCCTTTTCATAAACTTCTAATTTACAGAGAGTAATTCATTAATGGTGCATCCTGAGAGAAACATGTGGAAAGAATTTTCAACTAACTCCAGAGAAAAGTTAAATACAATTCAGATAAGTCAGATGACCAGCAACATAGTGGCTGCTGAACACATGAGTAAAACTCAAGACCAGTGGCTCCCAGGCACGGGTTGTGCCAAGGCCAAAGGCTACCCTCCACTAAGAGGTACGTGGTGTTCAGAAATGAATCCTACAGCAAAAAAGGTTCCCTACTTACTTTTCTCACAGCTGAATCTGTCAAGAGTGAAGCTGCCAACTGTAACTAGACTTTATTCAGACCAACCAGCAAACACAGTTAAGAGCTAATGACAGGAAACTCAGATAAAAGTGACTGTCATTCTAGAGGGTAATACCATTGAAAGGAACATTGGCTATCATCGGACATATATGCCCTAAACTCCCAGAATGCAGTTTTGCTTCTAAGGTCAAAACTAAGAAAAATAGGGCACTATTAAAAAGCAGGATTCTAACACCATGCATGAGCCAAACTAGTCCTTCTGGTTGCACATGATGCTCTCTGATCAACTCAGGCTTTACAAGAGTCAGGATCAAAAGATGTAAGAAGAAACACAGAAGGGGAATTATAGGAAGTTGTAGTTGGAACAAGTTGAGGCTTATACAAAACATGTTAAGGACAACCAGAAAGGGCATCAAAGCTATGCTAGCAGCATATTCAATGCCTGTATTCTGAATATTTTGCGTTTCTAGCAAGGCAAATGATCTCCGACTGGGTAGAAACAACATGCTTGAGAAGGATGGGAAGCCCATTACAGATAAGGCAACAGGGTGAGAGCAACATCTTATTCACATGAACATCACTCTCCAGAGAGGAAGACTACATACCTCAGAGTAGTAAAGACGGGGGCAGGTGGGAATTTAGAGTTATGGCCATACTCTCAAAGAATCATGGTGCAATTTTCTCGAAAAAAACATGATGAAAATAGCGAGCACTCACTGACCATTTACTATATGTCAGGCACTGTTCAGAATGACTAACTTTATTTATTTTTTATTTATTTATTTTTTTAAAGATTTTATTTATTTATTTGACAGAGAGAGACACAGCGAGAGAGGGAACACAAGCAGGGGGAG